AAAATTTATAACTTAATTTAAAAATTAAAAAAATTAACATTCTTAATAAAAAAAAATTTCTCTATAGTCAATAGTGTTCTAATCAATTATATGTAATTGTAATCAATTATAAATTCTAAATGAATCATTTTATCATATTTTTTCAACGTAAGCAATTACTTCACAATGTAATTGCTTATGTGCTTTGATTCAAGATTTTTTTTTTTTCCCCTTCACACATTTGCACATTTTAGAAAGCAAATTTTCCTCAAAAAAATTAAACCGATAATGAATACCAAACGGGCCCTTAAAAGAGAGTTAGTTGACAGTTAAGTTGGGATTTGGACTTTGAAGCAGCTCCTTCATACTATACTATCCTTCCTCCATTTTCAAATAATTTAATTAATGCAAACAGAAACCATTTTTCCCTTTGTCCAGACTTGGTTTCTGATTCCGTTGAATATTCTTCCACATTTGTTTCTTCCTGTTAAATCAATTGTCCCTTTCAAATCTTGTTCTGGAGCTTTCAACGTAGAAAAGTTCCCCAATCCCGTCGATGATCTCGATGTCTTCCTTCGTCAAAACCATGCATGTTGCACTTACCCTGTTCAAAATTTAGTTAACCATTCTCGATCAATCCAACCCATGGCGGTTTCCGGTGATTCGGTTCTTGTTCGTAGTCTAATTGCCAAAAACATCACTAGGGTTTGGCAAAGGAATGGTTTTTTAAGTACTAAGAATGTTACGGAGGTGGGTTTTTACACTGTGGGGAGATTGGAGAAGAAGGGTAGGGTTGGAGTTAGAGCTGCATTGCAGGTGGGTTCGGAGGATGTGAAGAAATTGGAAGGGAATTTTGGGTTTGATGTGGTGTCAGAAGGGGAGCTGAAGGAGAAGGGGTTTTTGGGTATGAGGAAGACGAAGCTGGTGTGCACCATAGGGCCTGCGTGTTGCTCGGTTGAGGATTTGGAGAAGTTGGCTGCGGGAGGGATGAATGTGGCTAGGCTTAACATGTGTCATAACGCAAGGGAGTGGCATCTTGATGTGATTAAGAAGATCAGAAGGTTGAATGAGGAAAAGGGGTTTTGTGTTTCGGTGATGATTGATACTGAAGGGAGTCAGATACATGTGGTTGATCATGGTGCCCCTTCAACTGTCAAAGCAGAGGTAATTAACTATTCCAATAATTTATTTCATTATTTCTTTGAATTAATTAATCTGTTGCTTATGCTTGATGATTTAGAAGTAGTGATCTACAAGTATCAATTTTGATGAGTTTATATTCTTTATTTCCTTATGTTATTGTGGTCCTAGGAAGGTTCAGTCTGGTTATTTACTGCTGAACAATTTGACGGTTTGCGTCCATTCACCGTCCAAGCCAACTACGAAGGTTTCTCTGAAGGTACCATAGAGATATTAAAACAGAGTCCAGAATAACTTCAATGGCATGAAAAATAGTGAGATTTTATTAATCTGATTCTCTATGTCGGTAAAATTGAATGGATGGCAGGTATTGAAGTGGGCGATATACTTGTTATTGATGGTGGAATGGCAAGCTTTGAGGTGATTGAGAAGGTTGGGAATGCTTTGTGTTGTAAGTGTACAGACCCTGGTCTATTCCTTCCACGAGCCAAATTTAGCTTTTGGAGAGATGGGAAGCTTGTGGAGAGGAACTACAGGCTCCCTACTCTATCACCAAAGGTTTGGCTCATTTGCTGCAGTTTGTATTTGTAATTGTTTCTCAGATGCCATGGTCTTTACCATAATATGTTACTATTCAATCAACCAAACAACTTAGTTTTAAAGATCAAATTTTGAGTTTTAATTAAGCAAATCATTTGGTTCATCCTAGTGATCATAATCTGCATTTCTCAATATTTAACTCCAAACTGTTTAAGCATGAAGGACAGAAGGTGTAATATTTAGTTATTTTGAACGTATGATTGCATAATGTTGTCATATCTTCTTTAGAAGATAATTGTCATTCCGATAACTTTGGCAATTCCTCGTAACACTTCCAAAATTTTAACTTCTGATCTACAGGATTGGGCTGACATTGAGTTTGGAATTTCTGAAGGTGTCGACTTCATATCCCTCTCATTTGCAAACAATGCTGATTCTATCAGTGAACTTAAGAATTATCTGTCCACCAAGTCATCCAGGTATCCTACTCAACCTTGTTTACCTGTTCATCAAACAAGATGAAGCTGTTTACTTGTAAATGACAGCTAATGGCATGCATTTCAATGTGTTACCTAAAATATGTATGTCTTAGCTGATTAGTTAGGAAACTTTGTAAGAATACAATTTATAATTGCTGCATTTTGTGAAAGTCAGTAGAAAGAGTAATTAGTACTATGCCTCAGTGCTCACGTTATTTATGCAGGAGTCTTTCCCTCAGTATCTGTTACATTCTTCCATCTCTGATTGTTTTCTTTTGGTTCCATTTCTTCTTGGGTCAGAGATGACATTATCACCACCCCTATGATTTTGCATATACCTCAATATTTAATACTATAAGAAAGAAAATCTGTGTCTTCTCTTTTTGGACCATGCCAGCACGAACTTTTGATCGTGTACCAGTCCCATTAATTTCTAAGTTGTGCCTTAATGATCTCTAGCAAACAGATATTCACATTTTCTTTTCTACAAGGAAAATGCTTCTTTTCTAATCACTTATTTACCAGCATTCTTTCCTACATGACAGTGCTTATGAGTTATGACTATTGAACTCTTTCTCATCCTGAAGTATGAATTTATCATCCAAAAGACAATTCTTTAATGGTATGACTTAATGGCATCTTTCATAATAATTCCAACCTTTAATGAACTAGTGGTGTAATTTGGAAAAAAAAAGAAGTCAAAATTTTATTCATCTTTCTGCAGCAAAATGCATAGACCTTGGCTGCCTTTACCCTTCTGTTTGTTATAGAAAATTTTTTGTAAGGATCAACAACTTAATAACTTCTTTCAGATAAAACAAGAATTTTTTTCCCATTTGTAGGTGCATAAGGGTATTGGCAAAGATTGAGAGCTTGGAGTCCCTTCAGAATTTGGAAGAGATTGTGGAGGCTTCTGATGGAATAATGGTGGCTCGTGGTGACCTTGGAGTTGAAGTCCCACTTGAACAGATTCCAACAGTGCAAGAGGAAATAACTCAGGTTTGCAGGGAACTAAATAAGCCTGTGATTGTGGCTTCTCAACTTCTGGAGTCAATGGTTGAATATCCAACCCCAACACGAGCTGAGGTAACGCCCTGCTGAAGCATAGTTTATACTGTGAAGGGAAAGAGATTACAGAATATTCATATGCAGGTAACTATATTGCAGTGAAAAATGTTGAAAATTTCTTTGTATTTTTTGATGCCATTCAGGTTGCAGATGTTTCTGAAGCAGTCAGGCAGTTCGCTGATGCCTTGATGTTGTCAGGTGAGTCAGCTATTGGATCATATGGACAGAAGGCTCTTGCTGTTTTACGGATGGCCAGCAGTCGCATGGAACTTTGGAGTCGTGAAGAGAACAAGCATATTCTCCATCAACGTCAACTTGGAGTATCATTGCCTGACCGCATTGCTGAGCAGATATGCAATTGTGCTGTTGAAATGGGTATTTATTATTAACCTTAGCTTTCCTTTACAATTAAACTCTAAATTTTTTAAATCCTACCATAGACCTTGAAAGTTAAGCCTGATATTACCTGTTGATTATTTGTGCAAGTGTCAATGAGTTCTGTTTTTCCTTTGTCATTCTAGTTTAGTAACTTTGTTAAATCTGTACTTCTGGATATACCCTTGCGCAGAGACATTTTCCTCATTTGTTTTGGTTAAGGTTGTTCAACTTTTTCCTTTTCCCTACCTCTTCAAAACTGACAATTTAGTTATTGCCATGTTAAGAAGCATGCATTCTTTTATTTTTACGTGAGAAAGTTCATTTGCTTAGCTATTGCAAAGATTTGAAACTGAGTCTCTGAACTTGGCCCAGGAATCAAGAATTTGAAGTTGGTACTGACTCTGTTAAGTGCTTGTTGAACGTAGCATGCCTTCATCACTCATTATTTAGCTTTGTAGTATTTTTGCATCCATAGATATCAAGTTTTATAACCGAGTTCTTTCTCTGTAGCTAACAACCTAGGCGTGGATGCCATCTTTGTGTACACAAAGCATGGACATATGGCATCACTCTTGGCTCGCAACAGTCCATATCCACCCATATTTGCCTTCACTAATAATAGTGACACCCAAATGGCTCTAAATCTGCAATGGGGGGTTTTTCGCTTGCTTGTTGATCTTTCATATGATATGGAGGGTAACATCATAAGAACCATGGATCTTAAGAAAATAAAGGGAATGGTGAAACCTTGAGATGCTGTTTTGGTGGTTTCAGACGAAACTCCAACCATCCCAAATCCAACTGCTTTCCAGGCAATCCAGGTCAAGAAGTTTGACTAGCACTCTCCATGAGAGGAAGCTGATGTTGGTGAGTCCAGAAGGTGAAGGAATTGCATCTGTATGCCTTTCCTATCCACTTGTTTGGGATTTGATGACAACTGACCATTTATACTGTTGAAATTGTATTGCATAAATTGTGCTTGGTTGTCTATATGTGATCATGTTTAAATTCAAATGCTTTTGTTAGAGTGATAGATGATCATGCTATCAAGTATACACAATGAGAGCAGGAGATACACAATGAGAGCAGGAGATACACAATGAGTTTTGCATAATAATGTTAAGAAAATAGACACACACAGGCACACAATTCTTGTACATAATATTCCAAATACAAAACAACCAGAAATTAAGACAACAGATTTTCTCTTCAAAGAGCGAAACAGCTTCCTTATTCACCAATACTAGAAGAAACTTTTCCTTCAATTTTCAGAATCCTCTTGCCACGTCCATGTTCAACTCCTACAAAATATGCATATAATTTTTTCCATATAAGAAATTTGTTCTTATAGAAGAGTATCTCAACTTAGTAAGAGCTGAGAAGAAGAGTTAAGAAATATAATTAAGTTACCTTTTGTTTTACGGAACATTATCATATTAGACGTATCGAAAGGAAATGAATTTTTAGTATTATTTCAAATACTAAACCACTACCTTGGAAGAAACTAATAGTGTAAATGCTTGAGTATATCTTGTACTTTATTTAACAAAATTCATTTTTGCCCTAAAAAAAAAAAAAAAACCATTACCTTAGTGAAGCAAGCACGTGCCCCGTAGAGAAGAAAGCATGCAACTGCAAAGCAAAGTCAACAAAAATATGAGGCTTTAAAAATCAGTGATGTTTGACTAAAAACATGAATTTGGAGAGACAGAATATAGGATAAATGATAATGGAGTACCTCTATCTCAATAGACAGGAGAATTGAACTTGAACCAGTCAGGATGACCGAACCCGCCACGCGGATTGAGCCAATAGTCGTCGCTGAAACCAAATATTATGCTTGGAGGCAAGTGTAAGGCTTCAATTATGTCATCTTCCTCAACTTCTCCAGGCAAATATATCCATAACTCCTCCACATTCTGAAGTCCAGCTTTTCCAGCCTCCTCCATATCAATTGAATTTCCCACCACTTTCATCCAAACCCTACGAAGATGCTTTAAGTTTCCAAGATCAGCAATGCTAAATTCTGTACCATCATTCCTGTCAGCTCTAGCAATGACCCCTATCAGAGTTCTAAGAGAAGTCAATTTTCCGACGTCTTTTGGGTAATGAGTCAGAGCAAAGCAACCATTAGTAACAAGAAACCTCAAATTAGGTAATTTTCCTATCGACTCTGGCAAATGCTTCAGACTTCGGCATCCTTTTAAATCCAGACACTCCAGATTGAGTATATTGCAGAGTTCTTCAGGCAACCTTTCTAATTTTTTACTATTAGCTAAGTTTATATATCTCAAATGCATCAATTTCCCAATATCTTCAGGAACTTCATTACATAAATGATCAGGTCCATCAGGCCAATTAAAATCCAATAGCCTTAAGCGTCTGCAATGATTAAACAAGCTACGCAATGCATCACAAGTCAAAGCATCCTTTCCTGTATAAGTTACAAGAGTTCGCAATTTTTCTGCACCAGAAATGGATGTAGGAAAACTCATCCTTTCACCAACCATCACTAACAAGTGACGATGTCTCGCTGAGTTTATACTCAAATGATCAGTCTGCACAATCTCCATAGCAAACTCATTCTCCGCCAAATATTTACCAAAGTCATGTACCACATCATGCATCTTAAAAAAAAAGATGTATCCATCCCTGGTTGCAAAATCTTGAAAGAAAGAGTGGGCTACTAGGATGTTAAAGTACTCTAACCCTACTAACTCCAAATCTGCATCAGGATCAGAGCCTAAAAAACCTTGTGCCAGCCAATGTGATGTTATGTGATGATACGCATATACAAAATCTTTAGGGAAAAGTACGCAGTACAAGAAGCACCGCCTTACTGGATGGGGCAAATCATAATAACTCAAAAGCAAAGGAGCAAAAATTTCCTTTTGTGCCAAATTTAGTTTCCATATTTCACTAGCCAAGATATTTAGCCACTCTCCTTTAGTACTCCTAGAGTGTAAGAGACTTCCCAAAACTTTGGCAGCAAGAGGTAAGCCTTTACATCTTTTTGCAATTTTCCTCCCAATTTCCTCCAAATCTTCTCGACTCTTCATCTTGTCCTTTCCTTTAAATGCTTTATCTCTGAGTATTGACCAACACTCCTCGTCACCCAATTTCTCTAGATGAATGATTTGTGAGTCAAAGGATCCCATCATTGATGCAACATTAAGATCCCGAGTAGTCACTAAAATTTTACTTCCTGCAGCACCAAGATTGAATGTAACTTTTAGTGAATCCCACCTCTCACATTTATCAGCCCAAACATCATCTAAAACAAGAAGATATTTCTTTCCTTCAATAGATTTAGATATCCTTCCTAAAAGAATCTCTAATGGATCTGATTCTAGCCCGTATGCTGCGCTGCCACTAAGCTTTTCAAGTCCTTGAATGATTGCTTTTGCAACTCTTTTCTCATCAAAAGAATCAGAAACACAAACCCATGTTACACTTTCAAAATGTTGTTTAACATTAGGGTCATTGCACACCAATTGTGCCAGAGCTGTTTTTCCCAGCCCACCCATCCCCACTATAGAGATGGTTTGAATTAGTTTCGCAGCATCCATTTCACTATTCCCTCCCAACAAATAACTCAATATTTCTCTCTTCACCCCATCCCGACCACATAGTTTTGACACATCAACAAAAGATGAAGTTTCTGGACGTTTTGGAAGTTCAATCTTCCTCCTTTCCAATTGATACTTATCTTTCTCCTTTACAATCTCATCTATTCTTCTATTGATTTCCTTTATGTTCACAGCAACTTCATGACGACTACTTAGCCGATGAAAAGAAAAGCATGAAATAAAATTGCGGAGTAGCAGTACCTTCCCCTGACAATTAGCAGCATTTTCGGTTCCTTTCACTTCCAGCTCTGCTCTAGTTTTCCACTCATCCAATGCATCCTCCATGTCATACGCAGCTTCTTTGAGCCTGTCCAGCCATTTCTTGACAAGTTGATCGGTTGTTTTCTTCTCCTCAGCGTCCGCGAGCACGCTCAGGACAAGATCAAGATTTCTTTCAAGCTTTTCCACTTCATCCTCGACACCAACAAGCAGCTTCACCTCTTTCTTTGCCTTGTCGATGATTGTTTTTACCTGGTCTAGGAATAAGTAAAGTATAGCATCAGCCATTTTTGGAGGGAGGGATTCACAGATATAGATAGGTTGTTGAAAGGTGATTTGATTAGGAGAAATTGATTAAGTAGATCTAATAAAACGGACAGGAGTTGCACTACTGTTGGTTTTTTTTGGCAAGAAGAAGAACCGAGCAAAATCACTGCAATTTCAGATTAATTCAAACTTTTGTAGATACCAAGAAGTTGCAGTAGAAAAAGTTGAGTTGATTGACTAATTGACTGACTTTTTCTTAAACTAAAATTGTGGATGAGCACGACTACTTTGCCACAGTATGTACTACTGCTTTCCTTCTAATTGTTTTTCCTTTTTTTTTTTTGAACAGAGTGGCAAAGGTGAGTTCGAACTCACCAGGGGAGGGAGGGAGGGAGAGGCGACTCCACCTCTAAGATAATCCAATGGTCACTTGACCCTTCGGGTGACCTTTTAATTGTTATTTCGGTTTTTTTTTTAATTAGTAATTTTAATTTTAAGTAATACCTTACCATAAATATTTTTATTAAATAAAATTATTAAACCTTATATATGTTAAAAAATATTTTTTCATAAATAAAAAGATTAAATACTTAACATTACAATATTATGCGTATTTTTAATTTAAAAGAAAAGTTTTTTTTATTCAATTAAATTAAAATATTGATCACAGTCTAAATCTTTTACCACATGTTTGGAATACAAGTTAGAATAGAATTGGACAAGACAAGAATAATGGGATAAGACAAGATTGGATTGAAAAAACCAACACAAGTCTCATCTCATGTTTTCGCACTTTTTTAAATTGTATAAAAAATTTATCCTATCTTATATTTAAAACTTTATAAGATTATATAAAATAACTTCTACAAATTTTTCATATGGGTAAAAACATCATTAAGTTTAAAATATTTAATAACTTTCATTCATTTACTTAAATTTATTGGATAAAATATCTTTAAAAAATAAAAATATA